CATTAGAGGTCATTAGAGGTCATTAAAATTCAATTTGATTTTATTTTAGGAATTTCGATCACTAATTAGGCGTGCACCCAAAAAATTGGAAGATTTGAACCAAAAATGAAGGCAGGCCCCCCCCCCCCTACATCAAATGTGCCAACTCCACCATCCCCTTTAAATATATATGCCTTGAAATGAAAACTAACATTTTTATTTAGGCTCTTGAATATGTGTTGAAGAATGTTCCACAATGGGAACCTAGAAAGGGAATCAAATCAGAGGCAGATGTAAAGTTGGAGGCAGATGTGAAGTCGGAGGCAGATGTGAAGTCGGAGGCAGATGTGAGTCCCGAGGCTGAGTTAAAATCTGACATACAGATGAAGTATGACATAGACAGCATTCCTGGCTTCTTGAATTCATGTAGGTATCTTAACACTTGACATTATGTGTCATAGGAGGTTGGAACTGTTGATTAAATAAAGTTAAGCTAAGTAGTTGATTTAATATTCACAACTCACTTTTTAATTCAATTTGGATTCAAAAGACGGGTTGAAACCGTTAAACAAAGAACTACAGAAATGTTTTACATTTATGATTAAATTACCGAAAAGTACAGAAATTAAGAATGGATTTAGCATTTAAAAGTTTCCATCTCTGTCCCCATTTTATTAAGGGAGCTTTTATTATTGATGATAATCATTTAAACAGGAATATATGTTTTCACTTTTCAGGCCTAAATTTTGCAACATTTAACGTGGAGGACTTGTTGAAGAATGGAGACTGTCTTTTCTCCCGGGATACTCAGGAGTTTGAAGTGGAATCAGAATCCAAACCTGCAGTTCAACGACACCGCTTGAAGAAGGTTAGTGATCACCGACATGTATTATATGATGCTCATGATCCCCAACACTGATTATATGAGGTGCATGTTCACATATACTGATAATATGATGCGCATGATCACCAATACTGATTAAACGAGGCGTGTGATTACCAACACTGATTAAACGAGGCGTGTGATCACCAACACTGATTAGATGAGACTCATGATCACCAACTCTGATTAAATGAGGCTCATGATCACCGACACTTTACTTCGATGCTCATGATCGCCGGCACTGAATTAATGATGATCTCATGATCATGATCACTGCAACACTGAATATATGAGGTTCGTAATCACCGACAATGATTTTTGCAAGCTCATGATTACAGACACCATAATGTCCGTGTTATTTTAGACTCTGGGCCTGGAAGGTGCAAGTTCCCTGGGGATAGATACAGAATCTTTGTTTACAAATGAAGATTTAATGGTAAGCTACTTAAATCTCTAGAATGCATTTGCAGTCTACTAAAAACAATATTTCTCATCTAGACTAAAGTGCTGAATACAAATGTTTTATTTTTTCCTCCCAAATTTTGATTATACTTTAAACTTGCATATATTGTCTTAAAAAATGTATTTAAATTACAGAAAACGTAAATTACAAGAAACTCGAGTACTCCAGCAAATGATAAAACCTCAAACCCTGTAACATTTAGGAGACCAGGATTGAAGAGAAGGGAGGGACGAAAAGAAAGGCTGAAGAAGTCGAAAATTTGAGTGCTAGGTATATTTTTTTTTTCTTCTTTTCCACTTAATGACTAAGAAACAAGTAACAAAAACAACATTTAAAAATACTATTTTAAAATTTTTTGAACAATTTTCTCAAAGGGACTTTTTACATAATTTTAAGGGACCCTCGATCAATAGAGAAGGCATGTATGATTCACATACCCTCTATTACAGAAATCCTCTTTCTGCTTTTGTAGAGAAAGAAAATCAACTTTCAAAGGCTGTAGGTTGATTAGTAAAAATACTAATGATAATGCTTTATTGATAAGACAAAGCTTGGGACTCAGGGCTTAGGATCCATTTAATTGTGAAGCGGATTTGGATCCGGATCCTGGATCTGCACTGGATAAAAATGGATCTGGATCCGTATTCGGATCCGGATTCAGGGTATTTCTTCCAAATTTACTGAATTTTTTGACAAAGCAGAATTTTCAGATTTTTCTTATTTATTTGCTAAAACTTTATGAACCATTCAGAAATCAGGAAATTTTTATTATCTCTTTTTTATCTGGGTTTTGAGGGTAAAAATATTTTTTTTGGCAGTTTTTGGTTTATACTTTGTCCCTTAGATCCAGGAAGCCAAAATATTGCGGATCCGGATCCTGAGCACTGCTAAGGGTACTTTTATGAGTCGAACATGCCACTTTATAAATGAACGTTCCAGGGAGCTGAATAGGCTGAAAAGGAAAACTAAGATTGCGAAAGAAGATTCACAGCCAAGAGATACCAAACCTGTGCAGAAGGAGCAGTCCTTTAAATTCTACACTGGTAATTGTTTTATTCTATTCTCTCATTTAAAATATAACTTTTACTGAATTGCGTGTAAAAAATGTCGATATCTTAAGTACAAAATGTTATGGCCTATTTGAAGTTTGGATTTAATGGTTTTTCATAATAAATGCACTTTCTTTCCAAGATTCCCATAACCCAACTGAAAAAATAATAAATAATTTCCGGAAACCGGTTTTAATGAATTTGAGCTAGGTAGCCGAACTATTGACCGCCGAAGTTACAGAAATCGGTTTTTGGTGGATTTAAGACACGACTCAAATTCATTAAATTCGGACACCGGTCTCCGAATAAACTATTGGGACTCCAGAGCTGCTCACGGTGAACTAGAAGTATGCTGATGTCTTCCTTTTAAATTTTTTGACATAATATTGATATTTTATGCTTTCAATTTTTAAATATTATCTTAATTATCTTTTTTTTTATCTATTCTTTTCTCAATTCTGCAATTTTAAACCTTTAAATTCTTTATCGCTCTGTGCAACTGTTCTATATAAAGTTGGTTTGGATGTCAGATGATTTGAGTTAAATTTAAATTTAAATCAATCAAATCAATCAAATAATCATGTAAAGGTGAAAACTGGTTGGAGAGTCCCAGCTGGCCGTTTCAATCCTTCCTAGACCATCTACTAGCTGATATATTTGCACTCAAGTGGGAGACTAGACATGGTTCGGCCACAGCTATCAGGTTGGTCCACAGACTTACACAGACTGCTCATATGCAAGTAAAATGCAATATTTTTACTGCAGCAGGTTCCATTGTTTAACTGGAGTACGCGACCAATCAGCAGGGATATTTAAGGATCCTTTGGATAGAAAATACAAAATCTTCAAATCTTCACAAAATATACTAAATTATAAACTTTATGTTTCGTGTTAAAAATTGGAGTATTTTTTAACAAAAGTTCTATAACATAACCCCTGAATGGGTATTATATGCAACAAGTGGCCGTCAGATGGAAGTCAAAAACCCCTCGTGGAAAAGTAGCATGGCGTGCCGGGACAACATTATGCCGTAAGCCGTGAGGGCGCCTGTCTGTGTTAGTCTGATGGTTGGTTGTTTACTAACTTGAATTTACAAAATATTCAAATTTTTAAAAAACTATGTTATCATTTAAAGATATCCCTGATGAATTATATCGTTTATAAATAACCATTTTTTTTCTTGAAACCCCAAGTTTCTAACGTTTTTCTTAATGGCTCATTTATGTTTCCTATTCCCGGAAACGAGGTATTATGTGTGTATTTCCTAAAGGAGAACAGTCCCTTTAAAAGGATTGTGGAATTGGTTTTTAAGTTTTTTTTAGTTTAATGTCATTACGGTTTTTTTTTACACTTTCATCTGTGAGACAAAGGCCTGTAAGCTAGAATCAGACAATTTGGTAATTTTCTTCATTTCCTGTAAATCTTGTAAAAAATCCATATTTTCATACTTAATTATAGGGTTACTTTTAAATCACAATAACGAAGATGTAATAACATGAAAATTATGAAACCAATTTTTTAACTCATTTATAACAGTTAATTTTAAATAAGGGGTGCCAGGGGAGTGGGAGGGGGCTATACACAACTTTTACCCCCTCCTATGCTGCGTTGATAATTCCCATGCACCCCCCCCACTCAATGCCATTCATAATGTTAAAAAAAATTTAATAATTTTTTTAGAGAGTTGATGAAACTGCATGGATCAAGCGGGGGCAAGGAATACATTTTTATCCATTTTAACTCGTCAATTTTTTTAGGACTAGAATCTTCGATTTTTAATTCTAATTGTTGCTATTGCAATTTCTCTCCTCAAATTATTAAACACTATTAAAACAAAATATCGCTGATTTATCGGGTTTTTTCGTGGATTAAAAAAATACATTTTTTAAATTCTGACCATCCAATTAATGTTAGTTGTCATAAAGAATTTGGGCCCGATCATATCAACGTTTTTTACGTTTTATGGATACAATATAGCAATGTCTGCTAAAAGCGAAATCAATTTATATGGGGTTTTACAACTCGATTGAAAAATATTAATAATTTTATGTGAAAAACAATAGTATTTTGGTTTAACGTAACAAGAATTGATGTCAAGTTTGAACCTTTATTACTGATCAGACAAAAGATGAAAGAGCACCTTTATTCCATAAAATTTCGTCTTCAGTTCCTTAAAGGGAGATATTTAAGAAACTTAGGATAATTTTGTTGATAAAGGAGTCTGGTAAAAGTTCTGCCAGAAATGAAGAAAATCATCAGAAGTGGCTGGTCAACATTTCTCTCAGGTAGGAAGGAGTAGGGACCAGGGAGGGGACTGTGAGGAAGGGGTGTTTATTTTAAGGGAGGGGGGCAACCTTGTATAATTAAAAAATCTGTTTTGCTACAGCGTTCTCCAATAAAAAATGCTGGCTGGAAAAGACAGTTTCCTATTTATATTTTAATCAAATTACTGCCAGTCGAAATTAAGCTTACCAGCAGTCCCTTTAATATTATTATCTAGGCTTGTCTGTGTTCTTGCATTGGATAGATTCGGGGACTTTGTTTCTGATCAGGTAAAACAAATATAAAAATACGACGAGGATACGCAGGGGATCCTCAAAAAATTCCAGCCAATTCCGTCTGGCAGTTTGGCCAGCTATAGCTGACATATAAGTATATAATACATGAGCGAAGAGCTTTATTATTTAAAGATAATGTATTTGAAGTTTTTTTTTCAAGTGATCCTCTATTCAAAGAAGTCCAGTTCAGATTCACAACGGTACCATTTAAGCCTTCGATAAATCAATTCTGAATCGGAGAAGTTTTGGAAGTGTCTTCCTTATACAATATACAATATACATACAATAAGAAAACCAATACATGGCTTTTAAAGTTAAGTTAATAGTCCCCTTGTTGTTCAGGTAGTTGCTCCTGTTCGTGAATCTGCTGCCCAGGGTCTAGGAGCTGTTGTTCAGCTTGTTGAACAGAATGCTGCGCTGCAGCTTGTCAACATTCTTCTTAAACTTGTAGGTACTGAACAGTGAACACGCCAAAATTACCCTCTCCGCCCTGCCAAGTATAAGTTAATTTTCACTAAATATGGAGGGGGAAAATAATTTTGGGTGAACAAATAATAATAAGGTTGAAAAAGTATCCAATTATTATTACCCCCCCCCCCATTGAGGAGAAAATAATGTTGAGGGAAGAGTAAAAAGTGTATTTTTTACTAAGAATTTTAATTTCAAGATGGCGGATAGTTTCCTACATTATTATTTAAGATGGCGGATAGTTTACTACATTATTATTAAAGATGGCGGATAGTTTACTACATTATTATTTAAGATGGCGGATAGTTTCCTACATTATTATTTAAGATGGCGTATAGTTTACTACATTATTATTAAAGATGGCGGATAGTTTACTACATTATTATTTGATAGTTTACTACATTATTATTAAAGATGGCGGATAGTTTACTACATTATTATTTAAGATGGCGGATAGTTTACTACATTATTATTAAAGATGGCGGAGATTTTACTAAAAAAATATTTTTCAAGATGGCGGCGGTTGGGAGAGTAAACATGGTGGTCTCCTAGGTATTAAATATGTCCTTGCGGTCAGACCAGACCTGGCTAGCATTCTACTACCCAGGATCTATCCAGCTGTTCAGACATGTAAGATTTAAAAAAAACAGGGTGATCAATAAGACATAAGACATAAGACGACGATTTCGATATCAAGTTGGTTTTCATCTATTTTATTTTATTTTATTTATAATGTTTTGTTTTATTTTATTCTGTTTTATTTTGTTGATTGATCAAATGAAACAAAATGAAACAAAATTGATTTGATCTGATCTGATGTGATCTGATTTATTTTGAATGTCACTTTATCTATGACGTAGGAAATCGTCATTATTTTATTGTGTCTAGTTCTTTAAATGGATTGTTGACGAAATTTATAGTAACCCTCCATTATAGGATGGCATAATTGATTCACAGCTTTACGTTTTAATTATTATCCGAGAAAAATTTAAAAAGTTAGCGTCGTTTTCCTGGCAAGAAAAGTTTAAAATTCCGACAAAATTCTTCATTGTTTCTGAAGAATTTACGCGCAAGTCAATGTATACTAGAAAACCACAATTTTAATAAAATAATTAAAATTTAAAAGAAAAGATTGAATTGATTTGATAGTTATCTCATGTTAACGGTACAGGCCACTCTGAATAGTGAATATGTAGATTTATTTGAAATTACGTATACAGTCCCTTTAAATGAACTCTGTATCTGTTACTAGGTCTACAGTTCCTTTAAATTAACTCTGAATCTGTTACTAGGTCTACAGTTCCTTTAAATGAACTCTGTATCTGTTACTAGGTCTACAGTTCCTTTAAATGAACTCTGTATCTGTTACTAGGTCTACAGTTCCTTTAAATGAACTCTGTATCTGTTACTAGGCCTACAGTTCCTTTAAATGAACTCTGTATCTGTTACTAGGTCTACAGTTCCTTTAAATGAACTCTGTATCTGTTACTAGGCCTACAGTTCCTTTAAATGGACTCTGTATCTGTTACTAGGTCTACAGTTCCTTTAAATTAACTCTGAATCTGTTACTAGGTCTACGGTCCCCTTAAATGAACTCTGAATCTTTTACTAGGTCTCCAGGATTCCTCGGATGATGTAGTTTCAGTCTCTGCTGCTGCTCTTCTTCCTGTAATTCATGTTCTTCTAGATACTTCACCTAGGTTCATTCATTCTTTCATTTTTTTTATTCATTTATTCATTTATTCATGTTCTTCTAGATACTTCACCTAGGTTCATTCATTCTCTCATTCATTTATTCATGTTCTTCTAGATACTTCACCTATGTTCATTCATTCTCTCATTCATTTATTCATGTTCTTCTAGATACTTCACCTAGGTTCATTCATTCTTTCATTCATTTATTTATTTATGTTCTTATTGATACTTCTAGGTTCATTCATTTTTTCATTCATTTATTCATGTTCTTCTAGATACTTCTACTAGGTTCATTCATCCTTTCATACTCTTCTGGATACTTCTCCTAGGTTCATTTATTTTTTCATTTATTCATTTATTTATGTTCTTCAAGATACTTCTCCTAGGTTCATTAATTTTTTCATTTATTCATTTATTCATTTATTTATGTTCTTCTAGACACTTCACCTAGGTTCATTCATTCATTCTTTCATATATTCATGTTCTTCTAGATACTTCACCTAGGTTCATTCATTCATTCATTCATCCTTTCATGTTCTTCTAGATATTTCTCCTAGGTTCATTCATTTATTCATTTATTTATTTATTTATGTTCTTCTAGATACTTCTCCTAGGTTCATTCATTCTTTCATTTATTCATTAATTCATTCATACATTCTTTCATTCTTCCTTTCTTTCAATTATTTTATTTATTAATTTATTGTTTGTTTACTCGTCTAATGGCTCAAATTCACAAACTATCAACTATTCACCCTGTATGTTGATTTATTTATTTTTATTTATAAACTTATTTCCTTTTTTTGAGTTGTTCACCCTCGTGCATTTTTTAATTTTGAACAAAAATAAATGTTTGATCAATTTATTTAATTTTGTTTATTTTTAAATTTTTCATAAATTTTTCATTTTTTTATTGAGTATATAAATTTGTATCCTCATTTATTGTTTACTTATGATTAAAATAAATGTTAATTCAATTATCAATTTATTAATTTTTGTTTTAGTGTGATTCCTAGCTTATGCAGTTTGTTGTGGGATTGTCTTTTAGACTTGGACGATTTAACTAGTTCCACACATTCAATAATGGAGCTATTAGCTCATTTAGTAGCTACACCAAGAGGTAAATAGATTCTATAATGGAGCTATTAGTTCATTTAGTAGCTAAACCAAGAGGTAAATAGATTCTATAATGGAGCTATTAGCTCATTTAGTAGCTACACCAAGATGTAAATAGATTCTATAATGGAACTATTAGCTCATTTAGTAGCTACACCAAGAGAAAAATATATTCTATAATGGAGCTATTAGCTCACTTAGTTGCTACACCAAGAGGTAAATAGATTCTATAATGGAGCTATTAGCTCATTTAGTTGCTACACCAAGAGGTAAATAGATTCTATAATGGAGCTATTAGCTCATTTAGTAGCTACACCAAGAGGTTAATAGATTCTATAATGGAGCTATTAGTTCATTTAGTTGCTACACCAAGAGGTTAATAGATTCTATAATGAAGCTATTAGCTCATTTAGTAGCTACACCAAGAGGTTAATAGATTCTATAATGGAGCTATTAGTTCATTTAGTTGCTACACCAAGAGGTTAATAGATTCTATAATGGAGCTATTAGCTCATTTAGTAGCTACACCAAGAGGTAAATAGATTCTATAATGGAGCTATTAGCTCAATAGATTCTATAATGGAGCTATTAGCTCATTTAGCAGCTACACCAAGAGGTTAACAGATTCTATATTGGAGCTATTAGCTCATTTAGTAGCTACACCAAGAGGTTAATAGATCCTATAAAAGTAGATAAAATTTCAAAAGATTCTCCAAGCATAGAATGGCATGGCTGATACTTATAAATCTTCTTACAGACATTTTTCACTTTATAATTTTTTTCTCCAGGATTAGAGTTATCTCTGCAGAGTACTAGTTCAACTCTCAAGGATCTTGTTCCCAGACTTTTCCCCTTCCTGTCCCATTCATCCTTACAGGTAGGCCTGCAGATCCCATTCATCCTTACAGGTAGGTCTGCAGATCCCATTTATCCTTACAGGTAGGCCTGCAGATCCCATTCATCCTTACAGGTAGGCCTTCAGATCCCATTCATCCTTACAGGTAGGTCTGCAGAACCCATTCATCCTTACAGGTAGGCCTGCAGATCCCATTCATCCTTACAGGTAGCCCTGTAGATCCCATTCATCCTTACAGGTAGGCCTGCAGATCCCATTCATCCTTACAGGTAGGTCTGCAGAACCCATTCATCCTTACAGGTAGGCCTGCAGATCCCATTCATCCTTACAGGTAGCCCTGTAGATCCCATTCATCCTTACAGGTAGGCCTGCAGATCCCATTCATCCTTACAGGTAGGCCTGCAGATCCCTTTCATCCTAACAGGTAGGCATGCAGATCCCATTCATCCTTACAGGTAGCCCTGCAGATCCTATTTATCCTTACAGGTAGGCCTGCAGATTCCATTCATCCTTACTTCCTAATTGTTTTATTGTTTTACTGATTGATCGATCGATCGCTTGATTGATTAATTTAATGAACCTTGAGGCGGAGTATATCAGGGCAGGACAGCTGTTCTTTAGCTAATTCTGAAAAATTAATCACTGAAGAAGTTGGAAAAGGTGATGGAGTTGTTGAAACTGAACTGGTCACGTGTCTCCGCCTGTATCACGTGACCACTTTACTGCACTGCCATTGGTGGAATTTCTGGTGAAGCAATACGGATGTATAAATAATATTATGAATGAAATCTATTGAAAATAGAAACAACAAATATAAAAGTAAACCTAAATTACAATTAGCTTTCTCTGGGATATCATCGTTTTCAGATTGGTTGCTTATTTGCTAAATATGATCTATTTAAACCTACTACTTTTATACAAAATTGTATATATATTAATTTTCGTATAGATTTGACACAGTTTTATATCAATTTCTGGAGACAAGAACATCAGATATGACTTTCATGGGTCGAGATTAAGAGCTAAAGTGATTAGCTTTCATCCTATACCCCCTTTCATTTTTCCTTTACTGTCCCTTTAAAAATATTTAAGTTTTTCAAAATCTTTGAAAGTTAAAATCTTGATAAAACTGCGAATGTTTTCTTTGTTTTAAATAGTAAATGCCGGAGCTCTGCAAGATGTGAGGGTTTCAGATCCATACCCAATCTTATCTTATCAATGATTTGTTATGACTAAAGTTTGTGTCTAGGCATGTGTATCAGAGAGCACTATTAGAGCATAATCCATCATGTCTTCAGCTAATTCCTAAACTTTGGAATTCATTGTGTGAGAACACTCCTCTCCAGGCATTCAACAATTCATATTGTATTTAATGTAATGTAACTGTAAAAAACCTCACTTTTGTAATGTAATATAAAAACTTACTTATCTAGTTCAATGCTGAGAATCTGAATCTGTCGGATTCACAACATTTTGGCTTCCTGGATTATGATCCGGGTCGGCTAAAATATCCGGATCCATGGATCCGGATCCCAAGGGCAAATACCAATTTTACAACCTGCAACAAAATGTTTTTATCTCTTAACACAATTATCAACTGTTAACCAATGGGTGATTATTTAAAACCAAGCAAAACCTCCGGAAATAAACTTCTTTCAAAACCCAATTCTCAACTGGAACCTTATTATTTCCAGTTAGCAACATAAGAAGCGGAAAAATTTTTATTACCTGGAACCGGATCCGGATCTAATTTTTTTTCGGGGCAAATCCTGGAAACGGTTGCAACAAAACAAAATGGATCCAAACTTGAGTTTTAGTGATTTTTGCGGGGTTTTAACTAAATTGACATCGAGATTCCTTCTGAAGTAAATTCAATTTATTTTGAAAAATCTGAATGTTGATTTGACTAGCCCCTACTGATGGCTGGATGTCCCTGGTTTGGGCCCTGGATTCATCTTATTTCAGGGCCCTCCACATCACCCCTAGATTCAGGGTCCCTCATCCCAGATAGGTCTGGGGATACTGCACACTATTTAGGTACTATTTACTTACTACATTGTTACAAATTTTTATCAAATTTATGAAAAATTAATTTTTTGGTGGCAATAAAATGTAAATGATGTGTTTTTATTCGAAAAAAAACTGCAGTAAAATAATTTTTGTTTTGTAGTATTTTTTTTTTTTATAAAATATAGAAAAAGAAAAGTAGACTTTTATGAAAACTTTGCTTAATCCAGATCCAGGTACACTTTTTGACAGGGCGGATTCAGCTAGGTACACTTTTTGACAGGGCGAATCTAGGATCCTGGCCTAGATTAAAAAAATGGTTCCTTAATGCTTTTTTTTGTTATTAGGTGGTAAAGAAGTACTGCCAATAACAGATCCTCTGGAAAAAGCAAAATACATCGCAAGGGATACTTTTTAAATTCTTGTATTTAGATAATTCTATCTTTTTTTCTTTAAACCCCAAATTAACATTTTATATTTATATGGTTATTTTTAACTTAATTGAAAAAAGCTCATTTACAATTTAATGTTACTTTTTTCACAACAAATTTCTTAAAAGATTTGTCATATCAGGAATGAAAAAAATTAATTATTTCAAATGTTTTTTCTCTATAAAAAAAATTCCGCATTTCAACAGTAGAAACAATGGGAGCAAAATTATCCGAATTGAAGCCAGTCCCTTTAATTAAAAAATGTTATACAGAGCGAGGAATCTGGGGGCCAAACTTCTCGGTAAACTTGCAGGATATGTTATCAAACCTGTTCCAGGTTAGATATACTTTTTAAAAATACGTTAATTGGAACAAATCTAAAATATAATAATTGGAACAAATCTAAAATATGTTAATTGGAAAAATCTAAAATATGTTAATTGGAACAAATCTAAAATACGTTAATTGGAACAAATCTAAAATATGTTAATTGGAACAAATCTAAAATATGTTAATTGGAACAAATCTAAAATATGTTAATTGGAAAAAATCTAAAATACGTTAATTGGAACAAATCGAAAATATGTTAATTGGAACAAATCGAAAATATGTTAATTGGAACAAATCGAAAATATGTTAATTGGAGCAAATCTAAAATACGTTAATTGGAAAAAATCTAAAATACGTTAATTGGAACAAATCTAAAATGTGTTAATTGGAACAAATCGAAAATATGTTAATTGGAAATAAATCTAAAATACGTTAATTGGAACAAATCTAAAATATGTTAATTGGAACAAATCTAAAATATGTTAATTGGAAAAAATCTAAAATACGTTAATTGGAACAAATCTAAAATGTGTTAATTGGAACAAATCTAAAATATGTTAATTGGAACAAATCTAAAATACGTAAATTGGAACAAATCTAAAATATGTTAATTGGAAACAAATCCAAAATACGTTAATTGGAACAAATCTAAAATATGTTAATTGGAACAAATCTAAAATATGTTTATTGGAACAAATCTAAAATATGTTAATTGGAACAAATCTAAAATATGTTAATTGGAACAAATCTAAAATATGTT